GGAGCTGGAAGTGTAAGTGCTTGTGACTTTGGGGTGTGAACCTCTTAGGATGGGGTTAGTTCATTTCAAGAATGTATAAGGTACATGCATGGATGTTAGGCAGCAAAGAGATGAACTCTAGCAGACACTGTTGGCTGCCTCCCTAATAGTCAATCTCTTCTTCCTTTCGCCAACAGTGTGGTTCATAAGTATATCCCTCACTGAGGGAATCATCCTTAGCTCGGAGGTCAACGCTAAGCGTGGTAATTTAATTACCCCAGCCAGTGATTGGGTGAAGCATGAAATTTGGAATCCTCAGGGCAATGACATCAGGAAGAGTTTGCTAAATGGCTTCTGAGGAAGCTCTTCTTGTTTCTAAAAAAAGACCCAGAAAAAAATAGTGGCCTTTGTACTTGATTAGACCAGGAGATGGCAAACCTTTTCTATAACGGGCCAGATGGCACCATAGGCTTCACAGGCCACGCAAGTTCTGTGGCAACTCTGCCATTGTCCTGTGAAGGCAGTCACATACAATATCTAAACAATGAGTGTGGCTGTGTGCCAAGAAAACCTTATTTATGGACACTGAAATTTCAATTTCATATAATTTTCACGTGACACCAAGTATTATTCTTTTTTTCACTTTTTTTTGAAATTGGGACTAAAATTGTCTAGATCAGGGCAGGGACTAAGTTTATTGTGATGTACCTGACCACTAGCACAATGCTTACACCATAATTTGCACACAAATAGTTGGTGAATAAATATCTACAATATTCTCACGATGAATTGACTCCTTTATCATTATAAATATGTATGCACCCAATATCGGAGCCCCTAAATATATAAAGCAAACATTAGCGGTCTAAAGGGAGAAATAGACAGCAATATAATAATAGTAGGAACTTCAACACCCTACTTTCAACAATGGACAGATCATCCAGACAGAAAATCAATAAGAAAATATTGAACTTGAACTATGCTTTAGACCAAACGTACCTGACAGACAGATACAGAGCATTCCATCCAACAGCAGCAGAATACACATCCTTCTCGAGCGCACGTAGAACGTTCTCCAGGATAAATCATGTTAGGCCACAAATATTTGGTGAATGACTGACTGAATGACTGAAAGAGAGGTTAATTTCCTGAACGGAAGAAATACAAAATTGATGCTCTAGGGTGACCACCATCTACCTGCCACATGGACAGAACCAAAAACAACCCAGAAACACAAAGAAAAGGGACAGCAGCCCTTGGAGGTTTTAGGTTGCAACCCCTGTGTGGAGAGAAGTGTGTGTTCCCTAGATAGACAGCTTTTACTACTTTTGGTGTTCTTTAGGTTAAAAATTAAAGATCTCTCATTCTGGCTGAATTTCTTTTTCTAGTGGAGTGCACTGTAAAGACAGTCTTATTTTCGTCATCACCCAACCCTCTAAAGCAGGTCTTTATTAAATACAAACCGAAGAACAGGCCTGGCTACATAATTTGCAGGGACCGTTGCAAAATCAAAATGCGGGCTGTTTGCTCAAATATCATTAGGAATTTTAAGACAGTGCTAGCAGATCATTAACCAAGCGTGGAGCCCTTGGCACTTGCAAGCTCATTCATCCGGGAAGCTGGCCCCAGTAAAGGAGCAGAGGGAGTGGGGGACTGTCCCATGAATTATGAGACATCTACTGCTCGCTGTAAAAATGGCCCATTATCATCTTGAGGAGAAATCGGGTGACCCCCCGCCACTCCAGATAGCAGCATTTTACTCTCGACGTTGGCACAGTTGGGAACATCAGAGTCTGTCGCTCCGGGAAATTTGGTTTTAAACTTTATTTTTCATGTACAGTTTCAGATTATACAAAACATAGAAAATGGACTATTTTAAAGGCACATCAAGTAGAAGGTATCTAACTACCCTAAAATCACCTTTGTCCCCAAACCAAGATTCAGACTTAACCTCTAGGCCTTTCCCGAGCATCTCCCCGTCACCACTGCCCCCCAATATATAAAACTGTCCAACATGCTGTATTGTAAGTAACCGTTCCACTATTAGCGAGTTTAGTAATGCCCCACCCATCCAGGCAGATTGTAAACGACGCTTCTGTCTAAGCTTCTGTGTTTAGTGTGTTTACATACGGGCTTCGGGCTCCGGGTTTCTTTATCATCAGTTAATACAGAGCGTCCTAGGACTGCAGCCTGTGATTAGGGATGCGCACAGGCACACACCCTGCATCCGAGAGTGTGCGGGAGGGGGCAAGTCTCCAATTTGCCTGTATCCAGGCGTGAGTATATACATTCACGCAGAGCCACAAACCAAGCATTCGCCAAACTCATTTGAACAGAGACCCAAAGTAATTTTAATGCGAATAACAAAATGAGTTAGTCTGTCCTCCATCCACAGCCCCTCAATGAAAGAATTACAGTACTTTATAAAAATGTCCTAAAATGCGCAAACTACGGTTCCTTCAAATACAGGTGTTACCAGGAATATATTTGGTCCTGAGATTTGCTTTTTGAATGTCTCAGCTAATTTTCTTTGCTGTTGCTCTTGAATAACTGACCATAAGCACCAGGTGAGGGCTGCTCTACCTACGGGCAAGAAGGTCAGATCTTCTCCCTCATGCCATCCCTCCTTCCCGCCTCCCAGCGCATGTCACACAGCCGGGAAAAGGCAGCTTTCCTGTTTCACAAAACCTTGGCATCACAGACGGACGTGGGCACTGAATGTTACACAGTAGTGGCAACCAGCCAGGAAAACCCATGGGCTCATTTCAGATACATACCCCTGAAGCTTTTCGTGAAGGAGATTCATGCATTGCTTGGGGATTAGGTTTTCCAAATTTCCGGTTTCTAAGGGTTTTTGTTTGTTTCGTTGTGGCTACCAGGAAATTATAGAAAAGCCACCTGGGTAGAAAGCTGGAGGCACCTAGACCCACTGTCCTCCACGAGGCTCTCGTAGCATCCTGCAAATCCCAGGGGTGTGACCCACAGTGCTACCCACAACATGACAGTTTTCTGTCGAGGCAGGAGGTGGCAGCTTGTCTTGTCACTGGCCCTGTGTCACCCTGCACGGTGCTGGTGGCCTCTTCACGGGGAGGGGGTCCTGTCTCGGGGAGGATGTCTGGATTTGCTTGCCCCTCTTTCCAGAGCCTCACACAGTGCCCAGAACGCAGCAAGCATTTCATATTCAGCTGCAAATGAACCAACGATGAAGAACGTACAAGTGAGTAGATGGAGAGAAAACCCAATCTTCCACTGAAGAGGTTTCCATGGTGGCCCTGGAACTACTCAAACCAGACGTCCCCCCAGCTCCGGTGCAACGGGGCCGACAGCAAATCACCCTCTGCTTGGCGGGCAGGCGGACGGGCCTCACCCCGGCCACGGGCACCCCTCCCACGGGAGGGAGGACAGCGAGGCCCACACTGGCGCTCCCCCGGGCCTCCTGCGTTCCCACACCTACCGCGCTTTTACACCTAAAGACCCCCTCCCCAAAGCTGCATCTCTCAGTGCCGGCTCCCGACCGCCTGGGGTGCGCGATCGCCCAGACCCGGCTCGGCAGATCCCCGGCGGCCCCTGTGCCAGGAAAGCTTGAGAACCACGGCAATCTGGGACCCTCTCATGGTGTCATCTCGGGGACCCTGGGCCCCTGCACGGGAGTAAGTGTTCTCTGGGTGTCACGCAGACAGGCACTGCTTCATAAATCCCACTGCAGGGCCGAGGGGAGTGACAGGCGGGCAGATCTATGCGCCTCCAGGAGCATTTAAAGGTCGGCAGGCAGAACGCAGTGCCCCCGCCCCCCCGCCCCAGGGGCCTCTCTTTTGAATCCTTGGTTGTGTTCTTTGCGGCCTTCATCACACTTTGTAATTAGTTTTCCTAATTGGCTGTTCATCTGTCTCCTCCATTAGACTATGAGCCCCCTGAGGAGAGACTGTCTCCACATGGTGCCTGGCACGAAACAAGGTTCCATAATTAACGTTGATGGACGAATGAACGAATGAATGAATGGTGACGGGGCCTCCGAGGCCCTGGAAATGGGGATTAGTAGAGGTCAGCCAGCCTTAGGAGGCGGGGCAGGAAGACAAGGGAGAGGCCTCTGTGTTAGAGCAGGCAGGAGGCTGCCCCAGGGCGTCTGGCTGTCGGGATGCCTGGCCTGGGACTGGAGTTTGGGTGGTCCAGATGTAAACAGCTGTGGAAGACCGTGAAGCATCAAGAGCTGATGGAGGCCAAGGTTTGAGCCTGCGGGGGGGTCTAGACCCACCCGCCCCCTCGACAGAGATCTTTCCTATTTTTGAGGCAGCTCTGCTCGCCTAGCCCTGGGACTGTGGTCTTCAATTTTAATGCACCGAAGCATCGCTGCAGGTTCCTGGGCCTCCCCCTGAAGACCCTGATTCTGTAGGTCTAGGCAGGGACCCTGAGAGTCTGCATTTTTCAAGGGGCCCCGGGGATCACATGTTGAGACGAGGGTGAGCCTGACTCTGACCCCCAGGTTAAAGATGACCTTCCCTAAGGCGAGCAGCTGCCGTTCTCAGGAAATCTGAGTGGCGCTTTCTGAACCCAGCCCATCACAGGAGGGTTGGGGCTCTGGCCTGGATATAGACAGAACACCAGGGGCGATACCTGTTTCTCACATGGAATTTGGAGATGTCATCCCTCACCTGGACCCCTCACCCCACCTTCCACCACCAACACAGAGAGACTCAGGAAGGAAGGCTGAGGTGAGGGGGGCTTGGTGTGGCCCAAACCTAGAAGATGTCCCCTGAGACCTGGCTTTCTCAGTCTCTCGTCACATCACATCACATCCCCGCGGTTAGGAAACACCCTGCTGGACATTTTTGGATTTGAGCACTGCCGGATTTTTGGCTTTGTCGAGTTGAGACTCTCGGACAGGCAGGAGTTCTGAATTCCAGCCTCCATAGTCTGTTCTCTGATCTCAAGAATGCAAAAACTCTTCTCTTCTTTTGGCTTTTAAAGGAAACAATATGTTTGCTAGAAAAACCACAAAAAAATGATTATATACAAAACGGTTATCTGAGTGTGAATTCTGTACTGCAGTGAAAGCGCCCTAGCTCCTAGTGTTCTATTTGCGCTTCCTCAATATCAGGTACATGAGGCCACTGACGAAGGTGAAGGCGAAGGCCACCCACGCCAGGATGAAGGAGTAGCCGTATTTGCCCTCCGAGGTCAGCAAATAGACATTCGAGTTGTGTTGGTGAAAGTCTTCACGCCGGTCCGTGTAAATGGAAGCTGCAATCATGACACACAGGCCTGTCGGAAGACAGCAAGGATACAAGTCAATCACAGACTAGTGTGTACCAGGGACCTGAGCGGACTACGTTTTACGGCCAGAGCTGAGGACAAACGTCAGCTTTTATTAGTAGCAGGTATTTATTTTAGTCAATTGGAAAGATTACAACTAATATTTTGTGGCAGAATATTGCTACCTACCCTGTAGCCATTTTGCTTCCAATTCTTGCCAGCTGAATGCAATTTTGTTTGGGCAGCCACATCCCCAGCCCAGAGGATAAGTCATAATTGGTCTAAGCCACGGGTCAGCCAGACAGTAAATAGTTTAGGCTCTGTGGGCCCCATATGGTCTCTGTCGCAACTACTCAAGTCTGCCCCATAGACCACCCATAAATGAGTGGGTGGGGCTGTGATGCAATAAAAGTTTATTTACAAAAACAGACAGTGGGCCAGATTTGGCCTCTAGGCCATAGTCTGCCAACTTCCCCTGGCGATCTTGTTCCTGTTTACTTGTTATAGTTTATGGATCTGTATGTGCCCCATTTCTGGCCAAGGAAAATCCTTCAGTGAAAAATATTACTCCCTGAAAAGAGCGAGATGAAGGAGGAGAAAGCATTTCTTTGTTGCCGTACTTTCCCTTGCTTACTGCTTTAGATATTGTTAGGTCAAGATGAATGTCTGGAGCTGTGGCAGCCTTTTTGGGGCCATGAGGAGGTCATCACTGATACTCTGAAGATGATAGTGTAGAAGAATGAAAAAAGTGGGGGTTCTTGATGACGCTGCTGAGATGCCAAATCAACTCTGGCACCTTCCACTTCCAAGCTATTTGTTATGTAAAAAAAATAAAGGTCTTTGTGGCTGAAGTCATTGTTAATTGGATTTTCTCTTGCAGCCAAAAGCAGCCCGAGTGAACCACCTGCAGTCCCCACATTCACAGACATTGGTGCCAGGATGAGGTTAAGGACCCTGACTTTCCTTGTGGGACCTACTGTCTCTCCTGGCCAGGCAGTTTTCAGACGACTGTCCATCACGATGCCCAGCCCTTCTCTGGCTGGGGGCTGAGTGCATGAGACAATCTCAGCCCATCAGACTCTTGCCCCTGGAGACTCGAATCCAGAGGAAAGTCACACTGTCCAAGCTCCTCGATTCCGGCAGCATCTTCCTGCAGCAACTGCCTGTCAGTTCCTGCTGCCTGGATCCTCTTCCCAAGACCTGATTTTCAGCTTTTCCTTCGATTCTTACAAGCTACCCCAGCATCCCATCTCTTACGTATGTTAGAGTACCTGTGGCTCACACCTGAAAATCCCTGGCTGGTACGGCATCAACCCACTCTGCAAACTTGGGGCAGACGGAAGAGGGGATGGTCCTTGGACCAGAAAATGGCCAAAGGGGCTGCTGTGGAAGGAAAGGGAGGTACAGCTCTCATATCAAATTACGGGGAATTTCCCTAAATTTATATCAAGGCCGTGGGTTTTGACTAACTGGCCTTACAGACAAATAGACAGATGGAGACAGTGACGGAAAATAAACTTCAACTGGTAACTCCCCCAGTCCCCTCTCTGCATGCCAGGTGACAGGAGTCAATCGCCTTTGATGGGTGAGTAGCGGGGTGTCCGTGCCTCTAACTGGGAGACACAGAGAAAGCACAGGAAGGGCAGAGAAGACGCCCCTCACCACCTGCTGGGGCCCTTGGGCAAGTCGTGTTCCTCTTTTGGCCTCGTGGGAAGTACAAATCCCCAGGCTCTAACCCGGCAGATTCTGGTTCAAAAGGTCAGGATGGGGCCTGGGGGTCTGCACTTCAGAAAGGTCCCCAGAGGGACGAAATGCGATGGGAGGGGCTTCAAGTTTTTGTCACCAGACAACTTTAACTCTTCACTGACAAACAAGAACAAATGACCAGGTTGTGAAACAAGGATTCTTCACCCAATTTCAGCCTCGCTAAAATTCAAAAGTAGAAAAAAGTGCTCTGAGACTTCCTTTTTCTCTAAGTTCCTCCAGGATCGAGGCCGTGTCTCGTTCGTCTCTCTCTCTCCAGCAGCCCACACAGGCCTGCCCCAAAACGGGCACTTCTGACGCCAAACAGCCTAAAACCTGCCGGTGGCTTCCCACCAGCTTTGGATAAAGACCCCCAAATCCGACAAGGCTTACAAGACCCCGTGGAGTCCAGCCCCCGCTGCCTCTCTGCCGCAGCTCCCACCATGCTCCAGCCTCATTCCGTCTCTACATTCCAGCCTCACTGGCCGTCTCGCAGTCTCTCCGGTCACAGGGCTCCAGTCATGCTGTTCCCTCTGCCTGGCACACCGTTCCCTCCCCTCTGTATCAAGACAGCACATTCTAGACAACTCCTGCTCACCCCACATCCCAGCTCAGGCTTCACGTCTTCAGAACGCCTTCCCCGACCCCCTAACGAAATCCAAACTCCAAAATATAAAATGTCCCACCGCAGCAGGGCAGCCAGCTTCCTTCCAGATCCTCACCCGCCACACTCCTCCCGGCTTCGACTCGGGGGTGGCTGGGAAGGGATGCTAATTCCGGGGAGCCGTCGTTCTACTTACACGCCATGAGCTGGATGATGGAGGTTAAAACGAATCTCTCTCCCTGCTTGAGACGGAAGAGCTGCAGCACGAAGATGAGGAAGGCGACACAGCAGAGGATGGTGGCCAGGATCATGGTGGCCTGCACCGCCTGCACCGTGGAGTACTCTGTGGGGAAGGGCGGGGCGCACGGCTGAGGACCACCGACCCCCGGGCCCCAGGTGACAGTGATGGTGGCAGCCCCGAGTGGGGATGACAGGAGGCACCAGTGCAGGGCGTGGGGCTGCCATCTGCAGAGGGAGAGCACAGGCAGCCCGGAGTCCTCCTCCCCGCCCCCCACGTGCCCATCTGTGCCCTGGAGGGACCACCCCCCACGTCCTTATCTGGAAAACGGAGCAAGAACCACGTGCTCTGCGTTCTTTCTGGTCTGGGTCACTGCCCCCAAATGTGTGGCTCATGGTTGGGGGGTTTTTTCAAGTACAAACCCTCAGGGTCCAACCTGGAGGATTCCGGTTTAAAGAAGCCAGGATGGGACGGGTCGGGATTGGGGGTCTGCACTGTAGAAAGACCTCCACGGGGATTCTCGGGGACTTGAGGCTCACAGACCCAGTGACCTTCTAACGTGCTCTGTGGACTACGTAAAACCCTCTAAGTGTAAGAGAGTGACCCTCGATCGCTACCTAGGAAAACGGAAAGTGAGGTTTTTTCAGATTAGCCTCAGAGAGTGGGCGGGGGAGCCTGGGGCTCAGTACAGGGACGTTTCAGCGGAGAAAGGAGTGGGTCTTGGGTGGAGGGTACTGCGTGCGGGAAGGACACAGCTGGAGCACGGCAGATGTACAGAAGGGGTCGAGTGCACAGACTGGGGCACCTGCGTGGGCCTCAGTTTCCTCACCTGTAAAATGGGGAGAGTAACAGCTCCCACCTCATCAGGCAGGGATGGTGGAATAGATTTACCCACATACAGATTTTAGGGGGTGCTGGCAAAAAGGGAGTCCTGTGGAAGGGCTGGATGTTATCACCAGGACACAGCTAAGGCAGGTGAGGGGACAGTGCCCAAAGCTGCAGAGGAAAACCTAAGGACACACCTTCCTTTTTTTTTTGGCAATTTTGCAATTCTGCCTGAAACTGACTAGAGGGAAGCATAATTCGTAAGCACTTATAATAAATGTTTAGAGCAATGGATCTTGGTTCACTCTGGCTGCACATTAGAATCACCCAGAGAGCAGCCAGCCCCCTCCCCTCATTCCTTATGGTGAGGAAAGAAGCCAGACCCACACACACAAATACACACTGTGTGACCCCATTCGTGTGAAGTCCAGAGCAGGCAAAAGGAAACCTCAGTGACAGAAATTGGGAGTGGGTGCCCCGGGGCAGGGGTGGTGGGAACTGAGTGGGAAGGGGCTGAGGGAACTTTCTGGGGTGACAGGAATGTTCTCTATCTTGCTTTGGATGGTGGTCACATGGGTGTACGTATAATTGTTAAAACTCTTTGAACTGAGCCCTTAAGAAGTGTGCATTTTCTTGTTTGCAAATTAGAGCTCCATTAAAAATATAAATCCAGCAGGCTGGATTTGAATATTTCATCAATATTTCATTCAAATTGAATATTTCAATTTTCATTGAAAAATATTTCATCCAGCACGCTGGGATGAAATAAATCAGAATCTCTGGTGTTGGGACCAGGCTTGGTGGGGGGGCATGTAAAGTCCCCTAGGGAATTCCAGTGTGGGGCCAAGTTGTGACCCTCTGGCTTAGAGCAGAGCTTCCCAAATTTGCCCAATCCCAGGAATCACCTGGGGGCTTGTTAGCAACACAGATTCCTGGGCCTCCCTCCCTGAGATTTTGACACAGTTGTTCTGGGGTGGGCACCAGGAATCTGCATTTTTAGCAAGTACCCCAGGTGAGGGGGCAAATACAGTCAGGCACCACATAACGACGTTTTGGACAAGGATGGACCACACAGATGACAGTGGTCCCTAGGATCAGTACCATACAGCCTAGGTGGGCAGTGGGCTACACCATCTAGGTTTGTGTGAGTACACTCTGTGATGTGCACACAGTGACGAAATCACCTAATGACGCATTTCTCAGAACATATCCCCATCGCTAATTGACGCATGACTGTATGGAAAACACATCTGCTGTGGACCGCACGTTTGTGTCCTCCCGCCCCAAATTCGTATGTTGACATCCTAACCCGCAAGGTGTGGGGGGGCCTTTGGGAGGTGATTAGGTCATGAGGGTGGGGCCCTCAGAAACGGGATTAGTGCCTTTACAAGCAAAGACACAACAGCTTGCTCTCGCTCACTGCTCTCCATCATGTGAGGACATGAGAACCAGGCTGTCTGCAGACCAGGAACAGTGTCCTCACCAGACCCTGGATCTGCCGGCATCTTCAGGGAAATAAATTTGTTGTTTAAGCCAACCAGACCACGGCATTCTGTTATAGCAGCCCAAGCAGACCAAGACAGTGGCTTTAGGGAAAAAGACGGATGCGTGTTTTCAGAACACGGTTTCTCACAGTGGGGGGTGGGTGCAGAATGTACCCCTGGTGGCCGACGAGACTGGCGTAGGTGGAACCACATCAGGGCACCGAACAAGAAAACTCCCCTAGTGAGAGGGAGAGTCACTCTGCTCCTGGTTCCCTTCGTCTCAGGACCTCAAGGAGGCCTTCTCCCCTGGACGCTTCAGCACTTCTATAGCACCTGCTCATATCTGGGTTTTGGTCGTTTTGTTTTTTAACAAAGAAAGAACCGGAAACAGGCTTAGGGCCTTCAGGGGGCAAGCACGTCCAGTCAGAATTAATAACATCATTTGGTTTTCAATGTAGCTTTTTTTTTAAGTTTTCTTTCTTTTATGACAAGTGATATCAGTTTATCCTTTATGGAGGGAGAGAAAGTTCCCTTGAAAATAAATTTATCTAAGGAAAAAGGGAAGTGTTTTAAAGTAGGGGTCGGCATGTGTTTTCTGTAAAGGCCAGACAGCAAATATTTGAGGCTTTGTGGCCACACAGTCCCTTACTGCATGTCTTATTGGTTTTGTGTTTTGCTTTTTTTTTTTTCCACAACTCTTTAAAAATGTAAAAACTGTCTTAGCTCATTGGACTGAATTTGGCTGGTAGTTTGCTGACCTCTTATTTTAAAGAAAAATAACAGGTGAATAATTGCACATAGGGGTTATGGAATGCAACCCAGAGAGGCTTGGAAACGTTGCCGCGAGCACAGCCAGCTCTCCTGGCCGACCACGCACACCTGTTGGGGTTTGCTGAGCAGGGAAGAACGGCTGTTTCTAGGGTCACAGGTTAGCATGACAGATGAACAGACCCGAGAGGGGCAGAGGCACAAAATGCAGAATGTGGTCGAGAGCACAGGCTTCAGAGATGCTCACTTCTAGATCGGAATCCTGGCTCCATCATTTTCTCCTGGCTGTGTGACCTCGGCTCTGTGCCTCAGTTTCCCCATCTTAAAATGGGGCCAATGGTCCCTGCCTGATAGGGCTCTGAGATCACTTATGTAAAGGCCTCAGCCCAGCGCCTCATAGTAAACCTGCAGTAAATGATGCCTCCCGTTGGTATTTTGCTGCTGTGATTATGAATGTTGATATTGTCATTGAGGGAATGGTGAGACTTTACAGCCCAGTGAGCAGGGTCCCCTGCTCCCTAACATGGATCGCCAGATTTGGCAAACAAAAACCAACACAAAAATGGGATACCCATTAAATTTGAACAACAGATAAATCACAAATTATTTTTTAGTATAAGTATGTCTCATATAATATCCGGGACATACTTATACTAAGTTATTTGTTGTTGATCTGAGATTCCAACTGAACTGGACTTCCCGTATTTTATCAGGCTCCAGGCCTCCACATGGCCTCTTCCATCAGTTCTACAACAAAAAAACAGAACCACTCGCTCCACAGTGAAGGAGAGTGGGTGCCACATTTTTTAAGTGGGGTTTTCTGTATTTACAAAGCTTTTTTGTGTACTTTAGCTCACACACAGAGGCAGCACTGCAGGTGCATTGCTACAACCTCCATTTTACAGCTAAGGATACTGAGGCTCTGAGAGCTCAAATGACCCACCCAAGGTGAGGTCACGCAGCTCATCAAGGAGCCCGCTCTCGGATTTCTGCCACAGCAGCCTGCTGAGATGGGGGAACTGATCCAAATATAAATTATAGTCTCTGAGCCGATTTAGAGGTGAGGCTTGGATAAAAGAGGAGCAGGAAAAGAGTCTAGATGAGAATCTTCTAGAATCTTCTAGACTCTAGATGAGGGCTGAAGCTGAGAAAGGGTGAGGAAGGGAAGCTCTGCCTGGCCAAGACACAGAAAAGAGAAGGGTGGGGCCCAACTTTGGTGGGCTTGGTGTCCCCTCCAGCCTCTGGCCTGTCCACATGCCTCCTGTCTCCAATTTGTCCCCTGCGCCGACACGCACCGGGCACTCGGCCAGGCCCGTCTAAGAGTGCTGTGAGTGAGGAATCAGAGTCGGGAAGCCTTTCTCCTGAGCATCCTTTTTGCACTCACTGCTTCTCAGCCAGCTTCACACTCACCTTTAAAGGAGTCAGTGATTTCCGTACAATTCGTGTTGTTGACGCACACTCTCCAGATATCTGCAAAATACTCTTCTCCTACCCACCAGGCCTGTAACACAAAATGGAAACACAGGGAAAGGCTGTGCGTCAACGATGAAAACACTGACCCCTAATTAGGGTTTGGCACAGCAGTACAGAAACATTTGGGACCAGCACTTCTCCATCTGCAGTGTGCAGGTGAGCCCCCTGGGCATCTGGTTAAAATGCAGATTCTGATTCGAGAGATATGGGGTGGGGCCTGGGATTCTGCATTTCTATCAGGCTCCCAGTGATGCCAAAGCTGCCGGCCTGCTGAAAGGAAAGAGAAGGTCCAGCCCTCACCAGGCGTAGGAGAGGAGATGAGGCTCCGTTGGCAGTAATAAGAGCAGACAGCGGTAAATTCCACCAGAACCACAGGGGCAATGTCAGCGAGTGGTTAGAAGAGGATGGATCTGGGGGGGAAAGCCTGTTATGGATGAAATGATCAGATAAGACTCTCCTGCCTTCCGTCCAAACGCTCTCCTTTCTCTCTGTGCTTCTGCTGCTCTCTGCCCCCAGCTGGCCCTCCTTCTGCTTTCCATCCATCTAAAGACTGGAATCTCCCCCACCCACGCATCCCGTCAACAAACGGTCACTGAGCTCCCATTACATGACCAGCTACAGTGCCAGCACAATTCCTAACTCACAATGAACACCACATGACTCCCTGATTGGCAAAAATGCCCATCCGGGTCTTCTCAGTAAGTGCCACAGTCATAGAAATACCCAGGGGTCCACCATGGGATTAAGTGGGCCGTGGCTGATGGCTTTGTTGCCCCTAACGTCTGTCTATCCCTTTCACTATGTCTGGGACCTTTTGAGAATCCCAAAGGATTAGATGCAAGAAATAGAAAAAGGAGATTTTAAGAGCACACTCAATACCATTTATTCCACAGCATGTGGGCCCTTTGGATAATGATCGGTCCAAATACTTTAACCCACAGCATCCATGGGATCCCTGGCCTGGCCACTCTCGGCAGCTCTTCAAGGACCTCCAGGAACCCAAACCCGACCACTGGACTCATCGCCCCTTACAGGATCTATGGTCAGAAGCCTCTGGAAGGGTTGAAATCCCAGGTCTGCCACTCCTTGTGGTATAAACTCCAGCAGGCGTCCACCTGCCCTGAGGCTCCGTTCCCTGATCATAAAACAGCACCAGGAGGAGACCTATCTCAGAGACTTGCGGTGAGGATCAAATGACATGATGCACATAAAGGCTTCGCCCAGGCCCCGGCCAGAAGAAGCTCTCGAAGTGACAGGTGTCGGGTTGGCCTGTGCTATTATTATGATGCCTGATCAATAGGAGGCTACATGTAGGCAGAGCTGGTGGCCACGTGTAGGGTGCACTTTTTGGCTTTCTGGGCAGCGTTTCTGACTCTAAATGTCTCTGCAGTCTGAAATTATCAGGATCGAAGCCAGGCCTTCGGACCAGGGTGGGGGCCACAGAGGACCCCTGGTACAAAGCTTCATTTCCTGATACAAAGGACATTAATCTATGCCAATAGGTCACTGATCAAATGCATTCCTACCATGTGGCTGTGAGCTGGATGCTAAAGGGTACTGGTGGGAGGTGTGGCCCGGTGGACAAGCAACAACGGATCCCGTTGGTAAGGAGATGTTGGAGGCAGGAGGGGCACAGACCACCTGCAATGGGTCACCTGCAGGATCTAGGGCAATGGTTCTCAACTGAGGATGATTCTGCCCCCCACAGGACATTTGGCAATGTCTGAAGACATTTTTGGTTGTCACAACTAGGGGTGAGTGCTGCTGGCATCCCGTGGGTAGAGACCAAGGCGAAGTACAAGACAGCCCCTTGCAACAAAGAAGGATCCAGCCCAAAATGACAATAGTGCTAAAGTTGAGAGACCGACCTGAGGAAGGCTGAATTTAAGCCACATCCTCAAACAGCTTCCTATACCCAAAACATTACACCAGGCTCCGTGTGGGAATCAGGGATGAGAGGACCAAGGTCCTTGCCCATCCAGACCTAAACATGGGATGCTCCAAAGCCCCACTTGCGCCGAGTCCTCAGACCCAGGCTGAGGAGATGGGCGTGCCTTGGTAGGAAGCACAACCCCCAATCATAATCACCCTGGGGGGGTTCTCAATCCTGCTTCTACTGACGCTAGGATCCAGGGGGTGTGGGATGGTCAGAAGCAAAGGGAACTTACATTGTCGATGGTGGCAACGAAAAGCAACGCAGCGGAGGTGATGTGGAAGACGATGATGAAAGCCAGAAGCACCAACATTTTCGCAGGGCACCGTGGGGTGAGGGGTCGCGTGTAAGGCCCAGAGAGAGAGATGTGCTAAAGAAAGTGAGAGAGAGAAATTTAAATTTGTCAACGACAAAGCAAAAGTAAAATGAAAAATAAGCAACTTGTAACCGGGTTTCAGAAGATCAACAAAAAGCTCTTCTCATCTTTCCTCACCTGCAGACTTTACTGGGCAAAGTCTGGCATGAGGAACTGTTCCATGTTGCATCCAGACGCCAAATATCCCTTGTGAGGAGGAGGGGTGAGGACCAATTAAAATCACAAAATCAGAAGAGTGTCACACCTCTTGGAAGCAGCACACGGTGGGCACTGGGGCAGGAAAGAGTAGCTCTGTGTGAGCTACAATGCTATTCCCGATCCCCCACCCACCAGGCAATGCTAGGGGGATTTCACAGAGCCAGAGGACGCTCACTGTCCCAGTATCCTGTATCACAGTCCCTGCTGCGTAACAAGGCAAGGTGATCACAATACGGAAATGTTTCCTAATGATCTGACCATTTATAAAATTAATCCCCACTCACCAACACCCTACCTCTTAATATCTATCCCCATTAGAACAACATCTGATCAAAAATTCAAAGACAGGGCTGGCCCCGTGGCTTAGTGGTTAAGTGCGCGCACTCCGATGCTGGCGGCCGGGGTTCAGATCCTGGGTTCGGATCCCGGGTGCGCACCGATGCACCGCTTCTCAGGCCATGCTGGGGCTGTGTCCCGCATACAGCAGCTGGAGGTATGTGCATCTATGACATACAACTGTCTACTGGGGCTTTGGGGGAAAAATAAATTAAAAAAAAAATGTTTAAAAAAAAAAATTCAAAGACAATGTATGGCCAACCATCATTGGTTCATTTTGCTCTCTCTGGGCACAGGAAGGCTGCATTTCCCAGCCTCCCTTGCAGTTAGGTTGCAGCCTCGTGACTAATTCTGGCCAATGAGCTGTAAGCAACACTGGCACATGTCACTTCCAGGCGAAGAGCATGCTCCCTCCCCCAGTGAAGCAGCTGGGATGGTCCAGCCATGGTACGTTGAAGCCTCACTCTTTGGACAGATACTGTGATTGAGAAATAAGCTTTTGGATATGAAACCACTGAGATTTCAGAGTAAATTTTTTATTATGGCTGGACACTCAATAATATACAGCAGGAGGTGACTGCAATGTGAAATTGGAAATCTTGCAAAAAAAACTAGGGTTGTACCAAGTTGTTGAAAGTGGTACTGGATGAAAGTGATACTCAAAAGGCACCAAAGACATTAATACATGAGGACTTGTCCTCTCTACGCACACTCTCACTCACGGGACTCATTATTGGGACTGATCAAGGCGCCTGGGCTCACACAGGGGTCGCTCCTGAGACGCAGGACTCACTAACGATGAGCCTTGAGCCATGAGGCTGCAGAGCTCAGCCTGGGCGGTCCCAGCTGCGACTCTGTGCATCACTACTTGGAAGAACCTAATGAACCAGCTCAGAGATTCTTCCAATTCTTTTAAAAAGGACAAATCCCCCTTTGTTTAGGCCTGCGTCATTCCTAGCTACCATCGTACATACGCTGCCTCCAAAGAAATGTTTCTGACCCTCGGGAGAAAAGGCTCATGTGCCACACTGAATGCCATGTTACTTTAATATCAGCTGGAATGCCAAAAATGCCAGTCTCTTGGGGCGGGACCAGAAACTCCAGGCTTCACATATTATCATATACGATAATGGCTTCATATGTTGTCCAGCTCAGATGATACAAATGCATACGGACACACAACTAAAACTTTCCAGAAAAGGAAAAAGAAGCTTTAACTCAGTCTTTCCCAAAGTGCGGAACACAAATGTTATAGGGTGTGATTTTGGATGGTGCACTGATATGGCATTAAATGACCCCGAACCACGCAGTGAGAAAGTCCTCATTCTAACCAAGGAAAAAGAGCCAGTCTGTGCTAGCCTGTCTAACATGTGCCAATTTTTTTTTAAACAAAAAGAAAAAGCAGAACTTTGGGGAGGCCACAGAGTGTAGTTAGAATTTAACAACGTTGTTTAGATTTTATTATATTTATTTTTAAGGTTCTTTCTTTTTTTAAGAAGTAATACTGTTTATAGCAGTGATATAAAGTATCCTTTTAAAACAAATCTATTGAAATTTTAGAAGTGAGTCATTTAAGAAAAATATTGTGTAAATAAAAGAACAGGTGGTCTTCGGCATCGGCAAAAATCCCGAGGGTGGTTCTCAAATGCCTAATGTCTGGAAGGCGCTGCTGTGACACCCAGGAATGATTTCAGTTGGAATTCCAGACATTAGGAATAAGCTCCTGCAGAGAAAAGGGGAGGTTTTTACAAGAAGTCAAGTAACAGCTTGAGTCCAGGGTAAAAGAAAGGCCCAGAATGTTCTAGGGTGACGAGACAGATTGGTTTGAACTGTTGGGCATCCAGGAAAGTTAGGGAATAGAGAATTAAATGTCACCGGTCAGTCCTCTCCCGTGATGCTGTCTGGAATTCAGAACTCCAGTGAAAAACAAAATGGGGTAAATCAAGGATAGAACTTGTGGACCTAAGACACTGCTAGTGGCCTCACTGGAGGCGCTGGAGGAAAGTATCCATAAATAGAGGAGAGCCCACGAACCTTCAGAAGGGACTAAAAACGACCCTTTACTCCTGCATCTCTATACCAAAAGAATCTCCGTTCATCACTATCCCTGACACCAGTCACCCAGTTCCTTTCCCACAGGGAACCACTCTTCCCAGTTTCCAGGGCATCCTTCCAAAGATATTTGCTAGATGGGAAGCCCTATTCCCCACTCCTCAGCTTTCCACGTGGAGGGAGCTGCACTAGAGTAACACTTCTGGCCTCATGCCCGGCCCCTCACTCCTTCACTCCTGACTGGAGGGGCACCCAGTGTCCACTTCTGCATTGGTGGAGCTCAGCTATTCAGGGGCCACGGTGCAGTTTGCCCTTCCCCACACCTCCTCCCTGGACTGGGGAGTGGGTGTGTCTGCTCTCCCAGAGCCCCAGTTCCCTTGGCTGGGTGGGCCCAGGGCTAGTGGGGAGCAGGGGTGTGGAGCTGGGACTCCAACCTAATAATATCTCTCAAGAGATCATTCTTTTCCAGCAGATGTGAATCCACCTCATTCCTGGAATGGCTGCCTGGTGTTCCCTTGGGTGGCTCTGCCACAATCTACTCAACTAGTTCCCTACTGATGGCCATTAGGTCGCTTCCAGACTTTCTGCTTCTCCATACTACACTGGTAATAAACATCCTTGCACTTTGCACATTGCGTTAGTCTATCTGAAGGACACATTCCTAGAAGTGGGAGTGCTGGGTCAAAGGATATGTACATTTAATTTATTTCACTTTTAATTTTTTAATTCAATTCAATTCAATTTAAATTGAATTTACTGCAAAGCATACCGGACACTGTTAGTGCTGTACCAGCCGTGATCTTCAGAGGGTGAATGTACTGGACCAACTCTTACTGGTAGGGCTGGGTGGGTGGAGAAGCCTTGATGTCACGTCTTTGACTTAGTAACATCCCTTACTTCCCCTGGAAATACAATTCTGGCCTCTGTAGACCAGCCTCTGACGTTCCCAGGGCTCTTCCAAGTGGTGCTTTCTCTTTTCCACACCACACACGCATGTTTTCCTTCTGCCCAGGGACTCTTGGACCCTCTCTGGAGATACTGAAGAACAGACAAGCCCTTGGGCTACATGTTGGATGAAGGCCGGCCCACCAAACCCAGGGTGGCATCAAATTTATCCTTGCCATTCACAGAAAGTTATTTTCCCTTCAAAACTGTCATACTGACTGCTGATCCCTCTTGCCTCCCCTTGTCCTGGCGGGCTGCTCTGCTCTGCGGGACTGGCCTGGTCTCAGGTCCCTGGGGCACTCTCTCCGTTTCTGCCTCAGCTGGCTCTCTCGTGCACTGTCTAGTCTTGATTCAAACATCCCCTCCTCAGAGAAGCATCCCGACATAAAGGGCCCTCGGCCCCTCCAGCACAGTCTGTCCCATCCCCTGGCTCATTTTCTTCAGAGGATCTTCACTGTCTGAAAGGATCGTATTTGTTCACTTGTTTATTATCTGTCTCCCCCTCTGTGTCCTGCTATGCCCAGTGCACAGAAAGCTATTTCCTGTCATTTCTAGTTCTAGAAGTGTAGGACTGTAAAGGCCCTCGGAAAGCTCAAAGCTCTGATTGTCTGGAGGTGGAACTGAGGCCGGGGAGGGCCATGACTCACTCAGTCCTACAGCAAAGCAGGAGCAAAGCCAGGACAAGGGGGTCTCCTGGCCCCCACTCCAACCGCCCCTTCGACCTCAGTGGGAGACCCGTCAGAGGGCACACGACAGTCCTTCAATTGTCAGTGACGGTTTCGCTAAGGCCTCTGTGGCTTTCAAGCACAAGTTGTGTCAGGCAGTACAAACCACGTTGTTTTCCCTTTGACGTTCCCTCCAGGGGCTGAGCAGGACGTTCTGGAAGGCCACCTCGGTTTGGGCATTTACCTGTCTGAAGGTGGGAGACCGCACTAGGTGAGCTCTTCAAGTTCCTGTCTAGAAATCAACGTCTTAAGAACTTCTCTTTTAAAAATATGTTTTGATCTACATAATACATGTGATTAAGAAAAAAAACAAAAGATAATTGGATGAAAAACCACAGCCTCTGCCCTCCCCCAGTCCTGATCCCCGGAAGCAATCACTTTGAACCCTATCAGCTGTTTTTCTCCCCATAGTTCCATACTTCCAAACAATATGCACGCACTTCTAGATCCTCATTCATCTATTGTAAACATTATGGACTTCCCGCCTAGGAAGTCATCTTTCACCATCATCTCAATACAGCCTTGTCGTCCTCACGTCAATAATTGTCATTACATGATGACCATGTCATGTACACTGCAGAGCCAAATAGTGTACTATGATTGCCTTTTTTTCTGGAAAAACTCTTCTTTTCCCTAGCATTACTAGTTCCCACCCGCCTCCCGCCCCCCACTGTGCCTCCATCTATTTTCCACATTTCTTCAGTTCTTTCCAAATTTTTTATCATTCCAAGTCTTCTG